TTTTTTTTATTGAAATAAATCTGAAATAAAATAAAATTTAAATATTAGATGGAAAAACGTAAAAAAAATAAAATAAAATGTCAGAAATTTTGCCTTGGCAACTAACTGAAATAATTTGAAGTACTAAAATGACTAAAATCGAAATAAATAAAAACTAAAATAAAAATTTAATTATATCTAAACAGAAATAGTTAAATAAAAATACAAAAGCATATAACAAAATTACTAAAGGTCTCAATAAGGCAGCACTCATTTATGATTATAATAAATATAAATATATTCACTGAATATGTTGAATGAGTATACTGCATGCTGTTTTATAAATATACAACAATACATTATGGTGCAAATAGCATCTGCCTATAAGTATGAATAGCATTCAATACACTAAGTGAAAATAGCCTCTTACTACTGTTTACATTTTGTATTTTACTACTATTTAATGGAGGTGTAAAGTATTTGAGTAAATGTAATTAATTACTGTACTTGAGTATCTTTTTGTATACTCTGTAGTTTTACTGAGTATCAAAGATATTAGCAACTTTTACTCTCTACTTCACTACATTTTTGAATAAGCATCTGTACTCTTTACTCCACCACATTTGAAATGAGTATTGCAGTTACACATTACATTTTGCATGGCACCTAGCTTTTCTGCAGCAGTTTATTTCTGCTACAAAAGAAGAAATATAGCCAACTACAGGGCACTGAAAGTACTACATCTTGTGTGTTTTGCCCTTACTCACCCAAACTTGTCAACAAGGCTATACGTATGTGAATGCGAGTTCCTTAGCAAGTAGTTGTGAATCACAGGTGTTTTATATATGAGATGAGGACATGACTGCAGCCGGCGATGAGGCTGAAACCAGCACATCCAGTGCAAGGAGGCTTTGACTTTTTAATTTGACTTAACCTTATTTTATTTATCCATTATATTTTTGAGGTGTTGAGTTTTATTTTGGTTTTAGAAAATAAACGTGATTGCTCGCCTCACAAATCAACTCTTTCTTGTTTTTCACTGGCATGTCTCTTTGATTAGTGCATCTTTGAGCCTATATTTAATACAGCTAAGTAAAACTGTTAAAATCATACTTTTACTCAAGTTGTTTTGGAATTGGTGCACAGCAAAATCCCCAGAGTTAGTTCAACTCTCCTCAGAGTACATATTGTCCCATACAGAGTGTTAAAGTAACACTGAAGCAGAGTAACCACTGTTGAGGATTATGTGATACGTTTTTATGTCTAAAAGCCTGAGCAGTAGTTGAACATCTTCAGTATTGTTAACAGCGGGTTTTCTTTACTAATGCTCACTCATCAAATAATTAATTGCTTAATTATCCCATTAACTTTAACTCGGCTTCAGTGTTACTTTAACACTCTGTATGGGACAATATGTACTCTGAGGAGAGTTGAACTAACTCTGGGGATTTTGCTGTGCACCAATTCCAAAACAACTTGAGTAAAAGTATGATTTTAACAGTTTTACTTAGCTGTATTAAATATAGGCTCAAAGATGCACTAATCAAAGAGACATGCCAGTGAAAAACAAGAAAGAGTTGATTTGTGAGGCGAGCAATCACGTTTATTTTCTAAAACCAAAATAAAACTCAACACCTCAAAAATATAATGGATAAATAAAATAAGGTTAAGTCAAATTAAAAAGTCAAAGCCTCCTTGCACTGGATGTGCTGGTTTCAGCCTCATCGCCGGCTGCAGTCATGTCCTCATCTCATATATAAAACACCTGTGATTCACAACTACTTGCTAAGGAACTCGCATTCACATACGTATAGCCTTGTTGACAAGTTTGGGTGAGTAAGGGCAAAACACACAAGATGTAGTACTTTCAGTGCCCTGTAGTTGGCTATATTTCTTCTTTTGTAGCAGAAATAAACTGCTGCAGAAAAGCTAGGTGCCATGCAAAATGTAATGTGTAACTGCAATACTCATTTCAAATGTGGTGGAGTAAAGAGTACAGATGCTTATTCAAAAATGTAGTGAAGTAGAGAGTAAAAGTTGCTAATATCTTTGATACTCAGTAAAACTACAGAGTATACAAAAAGATACTCAAGTACAGTAATTAATTACATTTACTCAAATACTTTACACCTCCATTAAATAGTAGTAAAATACAAAATGTAAACAGTAGTAAGAGGCTATTTTCACTTAGTGTATTGAATGCTATTCATACTTATAGGCAGATGCTATTTGCACCATAATGTATTGTTGTATATTTATAAAACAGCATGCAGTATACTCATTCAACATATTCAGTGAATATATTTATATTTATTATAATCATAAATGAGTGCTGCCTTATTGAGACCTTTAGTAATTTTGTTATATGCTTTTGTATTTTTATTTAACTATTTCTGTTTAGATATAATTAAATTTTTATTTTAGTTTTTATTTATTTCGATTTTAGTCATTTTAGTACTTCAAATTATTTCAGTTAGTTGCCAAGGCAAAATTTCTGACATTTTATTTTATTTTTTTTACGTTTTTCCATCTAATATTTAAATTTTATTTTATTTCAGATTTATTTCAATAAAAAAAATAGTTTTATTTAATAGTGACAGCACAGTAAAAATATGAGCTGCCAGAACATACTGTTCAGTTGATGAGCCATCCAATTTCCGATCTGTGATATGCAAAGAATGGGATCAGTAAAAGGCAGATTCAAAATTCGAGTTGATCCACTGTCCTTACTCTACACACCACTATTCCTGTTACCAGATGGGTTTCTTTTCTTTATTTTGTATGATGGGCAGAGCTAGAGTAAATAGCCTTTGCCAACAAGATAGGCTATTTGCACTTAGTGTAAATAGACACGTTATTAAAAATACCTTATATTTTCAAGTAAAACACATTTTCAGATCATTTCTACAACCTTGCTATTTTTATGTGCAAGTGATCATCAGTTGACACCAATGACTTGACACCACTCTACTTAAAGTAAACTACTAAACATACATGTGCAGGTTCCCAGGTTTGGCTGTTTAAGGATCTGTCACTCCAAGAGGGTTTCCCTCAGCCTCTGTCTACTCTGGCTCCTGAGGACTCAGAAGGAGGGTGGCAAGGATTGCACTGGGACCCAAAGCAGGGTGTGGTGTGGGGGTCTGTGAGAGAGGATGGAGAGCAAGGAGAGGAAAGCGAAGTCTGGAGAGAGCTCATTGAAGAAGGAGTGAATGGAATCATCATGGAGAATGCCGATGAGAGAGAAAGGACTGGGGACTTTAAGGGTGTGTTGCTTCAAAATCATTAGTTAAAATATATAAATACTACTGCATTGCATGGGAATGTATGTGTGACACTGTTTTAGAGCGCTACTGATTTACTTATTTTTTTTATTCTCTGTATCAATCAGGTTCAACCTATCTTTTCAAAGGCAATTCCTACTGGAAATTTACTCACCCAGGCTCCGCCCCTGAAGAAGGATACCCTCGGATTCTGGCCACTGATTGGTTGGACTGCCCTCAGCCTTCCTCTTACAGCCCCCGTGACATCTCTTTGATCTCCCACTACGGTCAACAGGAGCTTCGTGAGCAGAAAGGGCAAAGAATAATCGACCAGATCAGGCACAATGACAAAACCGAAAGAGATAAACCTTATCGCTGGGACTGTCCATGTCTAAACAGTGCAGTGACTCAAAGTGGACCTATTTTACTGCCCATTTTATTTCTGATCACTGGGACTTGTAATCCATCACTTTAATTTTTTCCACATCCAAGTTTACATAGTCATACCCCAAAATAAAGTTTTCCTTGACTTTCAATCTCTGACCAAAGGAAGTGACTACAATAGTTGGTAAGAAGATTTCTAACAACCACTAAACATTAATGATTTACAGTTCACAGAGTCTGTCAGCTCACTAAAGATTTTACTAAAGACGGCAAATAATATTGTGCTAGAGTTTAAAAGTATAACAATATATACATGTAGTATTTTGATTCTGAAGATGTAGAGAGCAAATGTCATAAAATGACTTGACCATAAAATGTCATAAAATGATGTTCAAAATGTGATTTATTCATACATTCCCTTATTAAAATAGTTTGAGAATTTTGATTAATCATGAAGTGCATATAAAAATGACTGTGCTTGTCATACACTTGGGAATTACCAATGTACTTTTATAAGATAATGTACTACTGTGGGAAGGATGGTCAAATAACGACAGATCAGTAATGTATCATTTACAGAAAAAAAACTATTATAATAAAATAAAAATGAAAATGCAATGTAAATTTGATTTAATATATTTTATGGATACTATTATGGATACTATTATTATTAATATATTTTATAAATATTGTTTTTCTTTGACAATTTTCTTTATTATTTTTTAAACATGTACCCTAAAGACTGTACCAATAAAAAGAAAAATAAGAACATTATTTAATTCCACAATTACTTGCATGTTGTGTCAACTCAGGAATTTCCTGGTCCCTAAAGTTCACAATTTTACCCATTTAATTCATTACAGAATACTGGCACTGTCATCACAAAAAAAAGCAAACTGTTGCATCACTTCAGAACATCCAGATGATAATATGTGATAAGCTGTTCTATATAAAGTACTTGTTCCCCAAGTGATGCTGCATCATTTTCTGAAGTCCTCTTCTGAAGTTCTACAATGTCGTCTTCTGTGGTCTTGGCTGCTCTTCTGGGCCTGTTTAGTTTGAGTCAGGCATCTCTGCCAGACTGTAAGGAGCTCATAACACCACGAACCCTGGAGGATGACAATAAAAGTGTATGCATTATTAATATATTTTAGAGCAAGTATTATTTTATAGTAAATTAACACTACGGGAGATTATATAAGGAGCATAAATTTCACAACTTCTTTTCTCTTCCAAACAGATCATGGCTAAATGGATCTTCCTTGAAGGCATAGCTGATCACTACTTATTTACAGATATCTTGAAGACTGTGAACAGCTCGTGGATGGAGTTTGCCCCAAGCACTCTTGCAAAAACTTTAACCCTCAGTCAAGGGGATATGCTGTAAGGCTGTCCTGTAAACTAAAGCTAAACTAAATGAATTTTATCATTATGATGACCAGCGTTCTGAATCTGATATCTCTCTCCCTCTCAGAAATGGAAAGTGTGAATTTTGCACCATTAACACAACTGTTAAAGATAGTATTTTTTATGCCAGTGGTAAGTTAACAAAAGCATATTTATTTCAGGTAAAACTCATGGACTCTGAGTACTAATGACTGTTATGTTGGTGTTTTTGGTCCACAGGAAATGACATAGTATCAGAGGGCAAGTTCTTGCCGTCCTGTCCTGACTGTCTCACCATGAACTTCATCAGCCAATTCAAAAATAAGACCATATATTCTTTATATTTATTCAGTAAGTCACAAAATCCATAGGCATGTGGAATCTATGTAGACACATTGCATCATATTACAATTATGTATTCCATGACCAACTGTGGAAAAAGCATTCATTTATTTATTTTTATTCATTTATTTGTTCCTGCAGAGAGAGAGAGCAACCGAACCGAGTCTGACATGGACACCTACTGGAAGCAAGCTGAGTGTCTCGGATTCAAAAGAGAAACCCAGTACTCCTATGATGGAGTAACAGGTCAGTTTGGGTTTCAAGTGCTTGTAGTTTTCATTGAAAGCAACAGCCAGGGCCATCCTTAGGGGGGTGCGACTGGTCCCCCCCCCCCCCCCCCACAGAATTAATTGCACATTAATATTTTTTCTTCTTCTTCTTCTCCTCTTATTGCAGAACTCTGTCATGTTATCAAGGACAACTCATCTGACCAGAAGCCACGTTTGGACAAATCAGATCAATAGTACATGCATGCATTAAACCTTTTTTTGCGATCAAATTTGTAAGAACCACCATGACAAAGTTAAATTGAATAAAGAATCTTTTTTATTCATCGTGTCATTGTTTGTTTGTGTGTGTGTGTGTTTTAATAAGTGATAATAACAAAAGTTCACATTCATACCATTCATACATAAATGATTATGAATGTGACTGTGTGGGTACGTTCAGTATCTTTTGGGATTGTCCTCATTTCTAAAGGCTCAAGGTTATTCTGACGGGTGTTTCCCAGTTGTCCAAAGTCCAGAGATTTACACACTCAATTCAATCCAGTTAACTAGAATTCTCAGAACCTGTTGCATCACTTCTGGGAGAAAAAAAAAACAGTATTGTGTATCTGGACTATTTAGGGTACTTGATCCACACAGCATGATTTTCTGAAATCATGAAATCAAGAAGCCACGTTTGGACAAATCAGATCAATAGTACATGCCTGCATTAAACCTTTTTTTGCGATCAAATTTGTAAGAACCACCATGACAAAGTTAAATTGAATAAAGAATCTTTTTTATTCATCGTGTCATTGTTTGTTTGTGTGTGTGTTTTAATAAGTGATAATAACAAAAGTTCACATTCATACCATTCATACATAAATGATTATGAATGTGACTGTGTGGGTACGTTCAGTATCTTTTGGGATTGTCCTCATTTCTAAAGGCTCAAGGTTATTCTGACGGGTGTTTCCCAGTTGTCCAAAGTCCAGAGATTTACACACTCAATTCAATCCAGTTAACTAGAATTCTCAGAACCTGTTGCATCACTTCTGGGAGAAAAAAAAAACAGTATTGTGTATCTGGACTATTTAGGGTACTTGATCCACACAGCATGATTTTCTGAAATCATGAAATCAAGAACCTCTTCTGAAGTTCTACAATGTCTACGTGCGTCAGTGGTTTTAAATGCTCTGGGCCTGTTTAGTTTGAGTCAGGCATCTCTGCCAGACTGTAAGGAGCTCATAACACAGCGGATGACAATAAATGTGTAAGTGCTTTATTAATATATTTTAGAGCAAGTATTCTTTTATAGTAAATTAACACTACAGGAGCTTATGAGGAAACGGGGAACATTTATTTTCTTCGAAAAAGATAAATAGATAATAGTTGATAAGCACTTATTTACATATTTTTATCCCCAAATTTACCTCAAAAATGGATCAATATAAATAATCAGTAAATTTTGTTAAGTTATTTACTTATCTGCTATCAAAACGGAGTCAAATATGCATTAATATGGTCAAACTAAAATGCTGTTCATAATAAAAATTAAGATTGCTTAACAACTCATATGGTTAATAGAACAACCTGTAGTTTATGATGTATAATTTGAATAGTGACTAGTGTTGACTAGAGTCCTGTGCCATTCAGAACTGAAAAGTTTCAATTGAGGCATCAAACATAAAATAAACTTATTTAAAATGGAAGGAAAAATATGTAAATGCTCTACACGCAATCTTTTTTAATAATACTTGTAGAAACCTATAAGGATTTGCATTTAATGACAAAAGAAATGTAGAATTAATTTAGATACAAATTTCTACAGGCGGCATTTTATTAGTAGTAGTAGTAGTAGTAGTAGTAGTAGTATCTAATGTTTCTGGAACTACATCATATGTTGTGTATATAAGTTTATGTAATTTACTGTATTGAAAAAATATTAAATTATGATTATTAATTAATAAATTATTATTATTATTAAATAAATTAACTAACTTGCTTACATTTTATGTTTTATGGACCATGGTGGAGTAAGTTCTTAAAGTCTCAATTTTACTGATTAATTTTGTTTACAATAGATCATGGGGAAATGGATTGTCCGTGAAGGTGTCTCTGATCACCAGTTATTTATGAACTCACTGAAGAGTGCCAACACTTCATAGATGGGTGTTGGACCGAGAACTCCTGCAAACACCACATCCCTTGGTCACAGGTACATCAAGTAAGATTCGTTACATTAAGATGATTCCTCTAGTTTGTGCATCCTTTGTCATTTAATGCTTAATGACCAGGATTTTGAGTCATATCTTTAAATTCTGATCATTCTCCCCGTCAGAAATGGAGATAGTCAAGTTTATAATATAGTATAATAACAACATAACTCTTAAAGACAGCACCTTTATCTCTTTGGTAAAACATTAATTTCATTCAACACATTGTGTTAACACTTTTTTTAAGCTGAGATCAAGGGTTGTTGACTTGCATGACTTTTTGATCTAAAGAAAATGACATCAACAGAGGGCAGGTTTCTCCCATCCTGCCCTGACTGCCTCACCATGCACATAAATCAATTCAATAATATGACCAAAAACACACTCTACCTCTTCAGTAAGTCACACTTGCCATGGACAGGGACTGCCCCCTAAAAAAATAGCACTAATTTTTCTTATTTGACCCTGCACACACACAGAGAGAGCGAGAGAGAAAGGAGTCTGACATGAACAGGAACCAAGCTGTGTGTGGAATCAAAGGAGAAAGCCAGTACTCCTATGATGGAGAACCAGGTCAGAGAGCCCAGTCTGAGCCAAAACTTGTGAATATCATGTACAGAACCTCTTTAAATATTATGCAAATATCAATATAATTTAATTGTGGTTGCAAATATCAGGAAATACACACACACACCTGCAAAATATTTGATGAAGTTTTCTTAGTTGTTATATCGCGAGGATTTTGCCTTCTTCCCAAGAATATAGCCTACGATTAGTATTCTGGTATTTCTGTGGAATGAGATGAGGTCCTCGTATGGCAAACTTTTCTTCGTCGCCGGTTTTGTATGTGTGTTGATGTTAACCTCCTGGCACACATCAAAGTCAGGTGAGCATGATCATCCTGTGAAGATTGCCTAAAATATTCCGATTGGTTATTCGGAATATGCATTTATTAGCCGTTTGCTTGTTTTGTTTGTTTGACAATTTCTGTACTGACATTTTGGACTTGAGTGAGTTCTCTATATCAATGCCAAAGAAGCCATAATTGAGAATTTGAGAAATTAAGTGTAAGTTTTTTTTTTGGTTTTTTTTACTCAGTAAATTGTCAACCTGTCAGACTTGGTGCAATGTCAGCTTCCTGGATGCCAGAAAAACTGGTATTGCAGGAACTCTTTCCAGTTAGATTTCTTTCATGTGAGACAGTTGATTACATAAAAGTATGTCAATAATACAACAGATGGATAACATTTTAAAAAGGTGATTTCTGGTTTTGAAATTTGAGCAATTGTTTTTAATAAAACAAAGTGCTGATAAATTGCAATGTGATATCTTAAGTTAAATTTCATATAATATAATAGGTAACACGATTGACAAGCCCTGCGCTTCAGTGTGGGAATGAGATGTAATCATATGCCAAACAACAACAAAGTGCATCAAGGCAAAGAGGAACTTTTGCAGCTCATCAACAGAGATGAGTGTATACTGTATACCATCCATAGCTAGGCCTGTCACGATAACAACTTTTTGTTGTGCGATATATTTCCCCAGAAATAATTGCGATAAGCGATATTATTGTCATTTTAAAAACCATTTTATGCCACTGAATATTTAATCATAATGTAACAGCATAATAATGCAAGAAGGCCTACACACTTCCAAATGACAACAAACTTTTAATTTTTAAGAATATTTAGATCATGGAAATTAAGTATCAAAATATTAGATACCTTAAAAACCAGAATAAATTGTAAATAAACATTTTCTAACAAAAAGTGCAAAGTAACAAGTAGAAAAAAAGAAAAATGCACAAAGAACTTGTCTGGAGATTTTTCCATCTACAGATTTTTCCCTGACCTTCTTTTCTCTGTAAACTAAGGGTGCACACTATTGCTGCAAAAACACAATCACTTACTTATCAGTCAGATGTCCGTATGCACAAAGGCACAGATCCCTAAACAAGACCATATCTGCAGATGAAACTTTTTTTTGTACAGTATAAGCATTTTTTAAATTTTGAACTAGCACCTCATGAGAGTCATGACTACACCACGTTATGTACGAGAAGCTGCAAAAGACACAGGCGCAAGTGGAATGTAAAAAACATGGTGACATTAATTTTTAAGTAAATATAATGTGCGATATATTGGGTCACCAAAAATGATTGAGGTCATGTACATATATTGCACGATAAGTCGATATATTGATTATTGCGACAGGCCTATGACCATAGCAGCATATATTCAACAGTACAAAACTCCCTGAAACACTACAAGCTTCCTTAAAGTTATATGGCGTAGCTTGTGTTTAGAAGAATTGTTGTTTGCAGAAAGCCAAAGGCATCAGCTTTGATTTCCTGTAGGCAGCAATTAAACATGATGATTGATATAAATTGCATCATATGAACATTTCCATTGGAAGTTCCTCTATGAACCATTATTTTCCCTTTTTTATACAAATAATTTTTAGAACTGGTTATTTTCAGTGGTGATCAACATTATGCCACAAATGCTGTTGCAAAGCTTAACTTGTTAATAAAGCTTAATAAATTAACTTGTTTTCAGCCCGAAACATCCCTTTAATTCACATCATGAGATGACTTCTGTGTTTCAGATAACTTGCCATTTCAGCTGCATTCGGTCTATGAGAGGTTACTGCGGGCAGAACAACAAGGGGAGGTCTTATCAAAAGAACTGCTTAAAGTGCTTGGTCAACTTCAAAACCGCAGCATTGCTCCATCAAATCACACAATCAGCAACTCCTCAGGTGAGTCCAAGCACATTTCTTGCTGTAATATTTGTGTCTATACAGTTATTCAGTATTTTATCTGCCTTTTTAGCTATATTAGAAGAGAGGGTCCTTCGGCGCTTGTTGCCTTCACAGCCTAATGCCTACATCTACTTGCCTCACCTGAAGGAGCATGAGGACAGTCTGACACCCATCGTTCACCTGGGGCAGCGACGCACTGGAGGTCTGTCTCCCATTATCATTTCTTGCAATTGTATTGTTACAGTGCTTGCAATGTAGATTTAAACATACTTGTCATAGGTAATATCAAAGTCTTAATGTTTTCAACTTCTATTAAGGGAAAAAGACCAACTGTGTCTTTACATAAGAAGCTACGATCTCAATCTCCCATCCACAAAATGTATCCGCAAGCAAAGAAATCATTGTAATATTTGCATACTAAATTCTGGCCTTCTTTTTGCATAATACATTTTGCTCTTTTCTTTCATGTGTCTCTTTAATCAGCTATAACTGCGGTTACAACAGTGTTTATGTATTGTTAAATTGCCTGCTGAGTATCACGAAAGCAGCAAAGCATCACAGTTGCAACATTTTATTTGAAACCCTAATTAGCCCTTAAAAACCCTTCACTGAAATTATTCATTTTCCTGCAAATCTAATATGGTATATTGTATTTTGATGTTTTATTTATTTTTGAACATATGCTATCATAATGTTTCTTTTACTTTGTCAGTTTTGTAGTTTCTAATAGTTTTACGCATACATAATCACTGTAATGGTCACCATAGGAAAACAAGCTGACACACAGTTTTAACTGTTTACGCAGTGTCTCTGGTGTTAGGAGTGCCCACCGTGCACAGGCAGAAACAGAGTTATCTAGTGAACACACTCCAGTCTCTCCTATTTGACCTATCAACTGCCGAGAGGAAAGATATTGTCATTGTAGTCTTTATTGCCGAGGTAACCATTTACTTATGCTCTTTATTCTCTTATATCTCTCCGGGCTTTTATTGCTCTGGTAAGGATGCATTAAACTTTATGGTGTTATATCAATTCATTCCTATAAAGCCATTTTATGTTATGAGTTGTTAAGTCTGATTTTTAACCAAGGAATTTGATAGTGTTGTATGCCAGCGCTTCTCAAGTCCAGTCCTCGCATGCCACTGCTCTGTACATTTTGTATGTTTTTCTTGTCACTTCAGAAGTTTGTTCTATTTGACCGTAAGTGCGGCGAAGTGTACTTCACAGGATAGTCCGTCATGATTCCAGTTCGAAGGGAACAACGTACATGTTCCATTCAAAGGGCATTCAAGTGTGTGAGACGTGAATTTAAATTGTATTTATTTACAGAGGTACATTGTCACTTCTCTACGTTTCATCTGTGTGTGTGATAATAATAACGAGCTGGTTATCTGGATTAGGTGTGTTAAATAAGAGAGACATGCAAAATATGCAGAGCAGTGGTACGCGAGGACTGGAATTGAGAACCACTGTTGTATACAAAGAAAAGTTTTGTTTACAAAAATCTTTACTGTGGCTGATCTGAACTAATGCGAATGTGTGGGCTCATTAAATAAAATTAGCTGTAGCTTAAATGTTTCACAATATGCATACATGTTCTTCTTTTTACTGATCTTGGACTTTTTTCATTAAGTGAAGTTGTACAGATTCATCTTTATTCCTGATTTTAAACTTGATTTTAATCAGTGTAAACAAAAATAGTTTACAGTATATTTACATTACATTTACATTTACATTAACGATTTGTTAATGTATAGTAATGTGTTCCTGTGATGGCAAAGCTGAATTTTCAGCAGCTATTACTCCAGTCTTCAGTGTCACATGATCCATCAGAAATCATTCTAATATGCTGATTTTGGTGCCCAAGAATTATTTGTGCTGCTTAATATTTTTGTGGAAATTTCAATATATTTTTTGATGAATAGAAAGTACAGCAATTATTTGAAATATAAATATTTTTGTAACATTATAAATGCCTTTACTGTCACTTGTGATCAATTTAATGCATCCTTGCGGAATAAAAGTATTAATTAAAAAATAAATCTTACTGAGCCCAAACTTTTGAACGGTAGTGCACTTTGTTATTCATTGATATGTATTTTCATTCTTCTCTTAGACAAATGCAATATTTGTGAATGCTGTTGTACAGAGTGTACAGACCAAGTGAGTGTTTCTTTAATTACTCATCTGCTTCATTAGAGATGTTTCCATGTTTCTTTAAGCTCACAGTGCAAGTAACTGTGTATTTCACTCTGTGTAGTCTCCCAGATGCTGTCAGTGCTGGAGTGATAGAGGTGATCTCTCCATCTCCTCACTATTACCCAGACTTAAGTAACCTGAAGGAAACATTTGGAGATCCCAAGGAGCGTGTCAGGTCAGCGATTCACCTATTGTGCAAATGTTGTAAAGAACTGGAAATAGATGGTGTCTTAATTGTGAAACATGTTTTACTGATTATAGATGGAGGACCAAGCAGAACCTTGACTACAGTTTCCTCATGTTGTATGCACAGTCTAAGGGCACATACTATGTCCAGGTAATGCCAAAGACACTGTCATGCAGCTCATTGTTAGCTCTATGTTTCATTGCCTTTATCAGTCTGAGTCTGTGCATATGTGTTTCAGCTTGAGGATGATATTATAGCAAAACAAGGATTCTTTGAGTCCATGAAAAAAGATATAGCGTATGTGCTTTCAGAGGAGTGGCTTTTCCTGGAGTTTTCCCAGCTGGGATTCATTGGTCAGTGTCTTGTCCTCTCTGTTCATTGATGTCCTGTCTTTTCTAACCTCTCCCATTCGCTTCTCTCCCACCATTTCTGTTTAATCAGTTGTTTCATACGTGTGCTGTTTTGTTATTTGTACACCTGGACCAGTAGTTCATTGAAAAAAAAGTCGTTAGTTGTGCAGTCTCAGTTGTGAATGCAAATTTATGGTCTTTATATAATATGAGCCCTCTTTGTTAAAAATCAAACACAAGTTCTGTTAGGATTTACTTACAGTATTTGAATTTAAAATAATTCAGTTCAGATCTTCTTGATTATTCAAATAGTCTCTTATTTCAAGGAACATTGTCAGTGTCTCACAGCTCCCATATATACTGTTTACTATGACCAAATCTATGATACTATTTGTGTCCTAGCATGAAATTAAGTATATCGCAAATTTTTCATATTCTAGGCAAGCTTTTCCGCACATCAGATCTGCCAATGATTGTGGAGTTCTTCCTGATGTTTCACAAAGACAAGCCAATCGATTGGCTGCTCGATCACATCCTGTGGGTTAAAGTGTGTAATCCTGAGAAAGACTCAGTAAGTTTGAATATAATATTCACTTATTTTTGTTTGTTATTAATTTATTTGTTTGTGAGATTGATGTAAGACATTTCATTGTTTATTGTTATAATTAATTGCACTTAGAAACACTGCCATAATGAGAAGGCCCGACTGAAGAGAACTTACAAACCCTCCCTGTTTCAGCATGTTGGTTTGCATTCCTCACTCCTCGGTAAAATTCAAAACCTAAAGGTAATTCAAACTTCCTCTTCCTTGTATGAAGATTTTCATATGCTTATATGCTAAGGTTTAGTTTTAATTAATGAAAACTAAAACTGAAACCATAAAAACAATGTTACTTGAAATAAAAAAACATTAACTGAAATAAAAATAATAGATAAATACATTTCAGGTAGTTTTTTTATTTTATTTCAGGTAGTTGCCAAGACAAAATTTCTCATTTTTATTTAGTTTAACTCGGAACAAAAAAATACAAAAATAAAAAATAATAAAAATGACAAAAACGCACAACAAACTTACTAAAACTTAATCTCAATTTAAATTGAACATGGAGAATATAAAAATGAAAACGTATTCAATATATTAATAAAACTATAATATTATAATGCAAGATGCATTTCTAGTAGAATAGTGGCCACCTACTAAACTCTCCAACAATACTATAGGTCTGTAGGGGTAGACAACAGCTTATCTACATTGCAAAGAGGGCATTTACATTATTTATATTAGCACATTGTATTTCCATAATGACTTACAAATTTGTAATAACACAACTCGTGTAATTCATCTTAAAAGTGAAGTGTGTCATTTCTGGTGTGCTAATGGCACCAATCGGAATTGCAAATTTTTTTATTTTATCATTTTATTTTGTTATCTATTTTGGGACATCACCCAACCAATAGGTAACATGTAGTTTTCTCTGAAAAATAAACTGGGCTATGAGGAAGAATTTTACCTTCAAAGATAATTACACACTTCACCTTTAAAGATACATTCCCATTAAAAGTGCAGCAATACAAAGTTCCAAATGTGTCCAGAAAAAAAAATATTACAAGCTAGCTTGGTTTTGTCAGGAATTGCGACAGAACCAAAACACAGAACATCCCAGATGTACTTAAAAAGTCTTTATTAACAAAAAAATAAAGATCAACACAAAAACCACCAAACACAATGTCAAGACAGAAGAGCACACAGCAAATTAATATAAACATGTGCCGTGTACTCTGTAGGAAACATGACACAAGACAGTGCCCAGAGCCTGACTGTAAGGCTCCTAGGATCGAAACCAAAGTAGACAGAATTGTCAGGGTCCAGACACCAAGCCCCAAATACAATACATATACAAAAGAATGCAGGGCTCAGAGAAAAATCCCTCAACTCGCACACTCACACAAGGACAAGAGAGGACAATACAACATATGAGTGTCAGGATCTTGTCACCAAATCAACAGCCAGACCAACCGAAGTGAGAGGTCTCTCACAGTTTTCTTGTGCACTTCACACGATGCCTATGTAGAGTGTTCCAAATCGCTCACTTATTAAGTTCTATTACAGTTAGGATGCTGCCTTTGAAGGCAGCTATCTGTGTAGACAATATACAGCAAGTCGGCTCACTAGGTTTTGGAACAGCGCTTATCTGTATGTCTGTGATTTTATGTGATGTACAGGATAAAGATTTTGGGAAGCAGGTGCTGTTCAAAAGTCACAATAACCCGCCAGCAGAACTCAGGAGCAGTCTGGAGAAATATCTGTCTCACACTCTGGAGAGAGCTTACAATGGAGTGGATTTCTTCTGGGGCCTCACACCCAAAATAGGAGATTATATCCTCATTACTTTCACCGGACCTCAAGCTGTCAAAGGGTGAGACATCAGTGCAGGACATTAATTTGATGAGTATACAAAGTGTACATGGAAACAGGCAATCCTGCTAAAGTTCCAGTTTCTATATCCAGTTTGTATGTTACTAGAAATTGAAAATTCAGTCATCATTTACTCACCCTCATGTAGTCCAAAACAAAAAAAGGATATTTTGAAAATCATTGCCATGGGTTTTTTTTCTTACAATGAAATTCCGTGAAGTCCAGTGTTCAAAATCTTCTTTTGTGTTCTGCAGAAGAAAGAAAGTCATACAGGTACATTTTAGGGTAAACTATCCCTTTATCTGTGAAAGAAAACTCGATATGGCTCAGAATGTTTAGGGGAGTCTGTCTTTCAGCAGCCATGGCTTATTGTAAATATCTCTTTACGTGGATATATAAATAGAAGTAAAAACCCAGTGGCAGTGTAAATGAACCCAGCTGTCTGCTTGTGCGCTCTTATATTGAAGTGGGTTTGCCCTGCTGAAAGAATGTGAACCAGTGGCTTCTGTTTCAGCTCCTCTGAGCAGGATATTCTATACTGGCAATGTTTGTTCAGGAGCTGAAAACTAAGTTGACATTTGGGGAAGGTCTTGTAAAGAATCTGGACATTCTCAGTACAATCTTCATGAAATCGTAGGTAGCCTAATGGGTGCATCTGTCACTTGACAAAGAGTGATGTAATGAGCCCAGAGAAATTCCTGGTTGTTTCTTGAAATGCAGCTGACCGTATCTTTGACTTGCTAAACAAATTCAACTGATGCTACGTAAACAATGGCTTGTTTAAGCTACATACATAGGGCCCTATGATTTCCGCGATGCGGAATCCAGTCATAAAAACAGAATTCACAGTTTAAGGCTGAATGTCACGGAATTTGTCAAATTTTGAATTAATTAATCAAACGTAGGTCATTACACTTAAATCAAATCGCGATATGGACTAGTATCTGTAAATATTAAGCCGCAAAAGTCAATTTAAATATGAATCCCGCATGTTCTGCGTGTCTCTGTTAATGAATGGCGCAGATGCGCGGTTTCATTTACTACTGCCATTTTGAAGTGCGGTCCACTTCGTGAAGTGGACAAGGGAAGTTTATATGGACAGACCCTCGCCTCGACACCTCGATTTTGACAGAGGGAGCGAGTCTGCTTCATATGCACACTTCAGGCCGCTCCATAGACCACAATGCAACACGATTGTGACGTCATCGCAGATCGCGTTTAATTGATCCCCACCCCAAACAACTCTATAATATATAACGTTAAATGATTTTTTAAACATTTATAACAGCCCAAACTAATTCATAAGGGAAAAATGTCAACAATAAACCAACTCCATAGCTGATTCTAAGTGATCAAAGGCTTAGGACGTTCCAGTTCAGCCCATTCCAAGGGTTCCGCCAGAAGTGGGCATTCATGCAACGTAATCAATGACGTACATCCGAGTAAACCAGACGGAGGGAAGTTTGCAGTGAAGGGCATAAAAAACAGAATGTAACGCAGCCCAGAACTGCTCTGAGAGTCACTTCATGAGCATTTGACCATTTGATTTGAGTAAAACTAGCTTCATATCACATACACAGAACTGTAAAGGTATTCACGGCAACCCGTCAAAATAAAAGTCTGGTTTGATTTGAAGACATTGTGCCTATTACTATTTTTCAGTAGAATGTACATTGCCTACTACTACTACTACTAAAATGTAACAAACATCATTTTTTAAGGAAAAATCACACAACATTTCTTCCATGTTTTAGTAAATCCCCTTTGTTTGCCAAAAAATTAAGTTTGTTTAATTTTCAATAATTAAAAGATAAATTAAATTAATGTTTTATACCTTCATTTGATAACCAGAAAAATTTAAACACAACACCGAATTTCTGAGGGGAAAGAAAAATCATAAGGCTACTTTAAGGAAAAAAAATGAATAAATTAAGTTGTTTTATGCATTCAAATAATTAGACATGCTAAAACACAGAAGTTGGTTACAATAAAAAATATGGTGAGAAAAAATATATTTCATAGGTCCCTAAATATGTCATTTTTGTTAAGCTTTTAATAAATTGATGTGAAAATGTATACGTTTCATGATTTTTATTAATTAAACATGCTTTTTGATTAATACAATTTAATTTAACTATTAAAAAGGAGTCGAGAAAAATTTAAACGGAAAAAAAACAGAATCCAGAAAAATTAAAACAGAAAAAACGGAATTTGGAAAAAAAAAATTACGTAATTTAGGAAAAATAAAACGGATTTCATAGGACCCTACATACATAATTTACAAAACCACCTATTAATTTTATACAGTTTGTAAGTTAAACTCTATCATCAACATCTATGGCATGAGAAACATTTAGACTCCAGACATTTTAGACAAATTGACTTAATTGGCTGATTTGATATTTTTATATTTTTATTCCACTCACTTCCAGGTACCTTTTTCGATCTGGCAATATTGAGACAAATGGTGACAGGTTTTACAACACAACAGTGGAGGTGCTCCCTACTAGTGTAAGTATCATGCCAAAAAAGGTCTGTATACACTACCGTTCAAAGGTTTGAGAGAGCAGAAAGATTTTTTATTGTTTTTGAAACAAGACTTTTATGCTCACCAAGGCTGCATTTATTTGATCAAAAATACAGTAAAAACAGTAATAGTGTGAAATATTTATTACATTAAAAAACTGTTGTCTATTTTAATATATTATAAACTGTAATTTATTCATGTGATGGCAAAGCTGAATTTTCAGCAGCCAGTACTCCAGTATTCAGTGTCACGTGATCCTTCAGAAATCATTCTAAAATGCTGATTTGGTGCTCAAACATTTCATAACACAATATTATTATCAATGTTCAAAACAGTTGTGCTGTTTAATGTTTTTGTGGATACCGAGATAGGCTTATTTTCAGGATACTTTGATAAATAGTAACTGTCTGTACTATCACTTTTGATGAATTTATTGAATCCTTGTTGAACAAAACATTCCACACAAAAAAAAATAAAAAATCTTACTGACCCTAAACGTTTGAACCGTAGTGTAAACCTTTCAGGACAGACCATGAGATTCTGTTGAAGCATCAGTAAAAAAAAAAAAAAAACAATAACTAGTAATGGCCAAATTCCAGGTGAAGGACTACACTACCCATGAAACCTGAAGAGAATGATCCACCAATCAGAGAATCACAACCAATCAGAATAAAAAGTGCTCAGCAGTGACCAACCACCCTCTGCTATGAAACAACATTGTAACATTGTAAACGACATTGAGTCTCCCTACTAGTATACTCCCTAATAGTTTTATATTGTGTTGATGTCTTTTATTTGATTATGTCATTTGTTATGATTTATTGGTCTGTAAGTCATTCCCTCATAAAAGATAATAAGCACAGTCTTTTCGAAGTTCACTTTTTTGTTGTTGTTCATCCCAGAACTGGTTGGTTTGCTTCATGTTTGCTTCATGTTTAATAGTTTTATTTTTAAATCCCTAAAGTACTTTAAATGTCTTAAATATTGTGAAATGAACCAAAGCTGCCCGAAAAAATGGGTGGTTTCAGTTTGTGTAAAATATGTTGGTATTGTCATAGCTTTAGACATATGTGACTACACTTTTTTTCTAAGTGAACATTTGTATTCATTTGCTTGTCGTGATGGGGCCTTGCTCCTGTGCTTGCAAGCCATGTAAACATTTCTCTGAAGACAACCTTTACCTCAAACCTGTTAGACTAGGATTTTTGTAAATACTTCCTGATATGACTTTTTTTCCATTTGCATTGAAGTATAAAGTGTTAACAGGTACGTTTGTGTATTACAGAAATCTGTGAAAGTGAGGGTGACGAGAGGAGAATTAGCCTGCTGTAAACCCTCATCTGATGGCTTTGTTCAGATAGGTACTCAACCATATTCGATTTCCTGTTTCTTTTCTTTCCTTTTCTGTCACTCATTTGTAAGATTTTGCATATATACATAGAGATGAAGTGCAATCATTTGTTTGTCAGTGAACTACAAATGTCAAGTTAGAGAGATTTTGATACATCATAAAAAACTATGTAATGATACTAGTCCGTTATGTAAGGGAAACAGGTCAATTTAGCTCAAAGGGAATCATTTAAGATTTTAAAGGGAACTCCACCAATAATATGTAAGGGAATTAGGACAGAATCACTGTTTTACGGCTGATCACTGAGACGGCCAGCGAGTCATTGAACGAGCCATATGACATCAATTCTGCAATGGAGAGTTGTTGTAAAGCTAGCTGTGATGATAATTACAGGAAACTCCAGAGTTGGCCTGCGAGGTTTGTGAACACGTCTGTTATAGGGTTGGGTATCAAAAAACGATTCTTATTTATTTATTTTTTCATTAAAGAGCTGAATGCTTTTCGTAATGTTCGGTTTCATAACCAGTTCTTGATTGGCTGCATTTTTTTCCACTAGTGTGGAGCACTGAGTGTAGTGAAACTATGACAGCATACTTGAACCGGTACTGAAAAAATTTTGTTGTTTTTTTAACGTGTGTGTTTTCATTTTCTTATTGAACTGGTCACAAAGACTTGTGACTCCGTTTAAATTGTTCTAACGCAGTGAATTTCAACCTTTTGGCGTACCGGACCCCAGTCCAATTCAGAACCATCCTCAAGGACCCCCAGAACAAAATTGACTCATCTATGTATCATTTGTGTCTTTGTGAGGACCAAAAGTATAATTTAAGTTAGTTGACTTGTCCAGTATTTGGCCATATCATCAGCTATATTGGATTTTTCTTTCATGGGAACATGTCATGTCAAAATATACAAAATTTATAAAAAAAATTCTTACATTATACGGACCCCCTGGCCTTACATCAAGGACTACTAGGGGTCCACGGACCCCTGGTTGAGAAACACTGTTTTAACGTTTCTTTCATTTGCTTAATCAGTGTGGTTCTCACTCACTAAAACTCAAGTTATTGCTTTTTTCATGTTTAAATGAACAAAGCACTGGAAAAGTCCTTAACACTTATTAATAAAGAAATAAATAAATGAATAAAGTTGTAAAAGGAAGAGGAGGAAAGACATCATGAATTTATTTGGTATTGCCTTTTTGTTGTTGCCTGTTGATCGAACATAGCAAAATGGTTAGCTATACTTAGCATTAAATTACCCTGGAATTCAAAGAAAATCATTTGGGGGTGATCATACACAAAATCTTTATTAAAGTATTATTTTAGTTGGAAAGGTATATATATATATATATATATTCTTAAAATCAAGGATAATAAAGATTTGAATTCATGTGCAATTAAAAAATATTTTAAGCATTATTATTTGTTAGAAAAAAATGTCAAGGGTTCGAATTGGTAAAGGAGATATGTTTAAAAAGTCATGGGCAAACTTTTTGAGTTATTTTTTATTTACTTTAGTAAATAATTGATTTAGTAGATAAATTACAAAACATAATTTATATTATATATTCTAATATATACAATACATATTATAATTATAGAATTTATATATAGTTTACATATGAACTATTTAAATATGTATGTATGTGTGCATTTATATTTTGTATGATAAATAGTATGCATTTGTAGATTGTAAGTATGTGTATAAATATGCACAGTATGCACATATATTGTTTGTGTATGTTGTATAATTGATATTTGTTAAATGAACATTTAGGAGACATTCTTTACAATGTAATGCTATACATTACAAAATAGCATGCATCTAAAACTTGCTTTTGGAAGAAAACGTTTTTGTTTTTTCCTAATGTTATTTATGCATTTTTTTTCATCAATCTATACTTGTTTATAAACAACTGTCAGTTGCATTTTGATAATATTTAATAATTAAAACAACAAAAACACGTTGCAAACTCCTGAAGATCTACTGTGTGCTGCACTACAAAGCAAAGAAACTAAAGATGAATCCACCCAGTGTCTCACCATCCATGTCAGAGTTCATGGCGAAATGCTCGTCTTCTGTTTTGAAATGCAGGGCTGCGACTCGTGTGAACACACTTCAGGATGAGCGCAAGGCCTGATGGAAACTCTAAAAACACAGACCGGGAGTTTGCAAAGAGGCTTTCAGTCATAATGTGGAGTCTTATTCATTGATGCTGCAATGCTAGGCGCTACATAATAGACTAAATAGCATGCGCAGTGTAACAGTTACAGTACACTGTGGTTGTATAGCTTGTGTAATATGATAGTATTCCGTCATTTTGTAGATGGCCTAAGTCAAAGTACGCAGAATAAAGCGCAAAATAGTTTCACATCTTCTCGTAAATGCTGCTAACGTTAGCTGACACACAGCTGATGAGGTAAACAAACCAACACACTGCCCATTACAGTCCCCGCTGAAGCACAGTTCATGACCTTCGCCTAAATGTATACACATATAAATCTACAAAATAAAAATAAATGATGTAAATAACATCCAAACCTTCGCAATGTGAAATTAGACCGGCCGAGAAGATCCTTCTTCTTGGTCGTCTTCGTCTTCTTCTTCTTCTTCTTCTTCTTCTTCTTCTTCTAACACACTGCCCATTACAGTCCCCGCTGAAGCACAGTTCATGACCTTCGCCTAAATGTATACACATATAAATCTACAAAATAAAAATAAATTATGTAAATAACATCCAAACCTTCGCAATGTGAAATTAGACCGGCCGAAAAGATCCTTCTTCTTCGTCTTCGTCTTCGTCTTCTTCTTCTTCCTCTTCTTCTTCTTGGTGTTTAATGGCGGATGGCATACAACTTTTAGGTGCATTACCGCGACCTACTGATTAGGAGTGTGGATCAGGATCGTACTCTTCAATAAATTCTATTATATAATCCAGTGTCCTTTAAATAACGCATTACAAATTTAAAGTTTTTATCCCCTGATTTATTCCCCAAAATGTTAGTTTTATTTCCCCAAATTAAGTTTTTCTTCGTCGTCTTCTTCTTCTTTGGTGTTTTATTGGCGGTTGGCAAACCAACTAATAGGTGCATTACCGCCTCTTACTGGACTGGAGTGTGGATCCAGATTTATGCAATATATATGATGGGTGAAAGAGGGGAAAGGGCCACAAAAAAAAAAAACCTTTAACAAAAACATTCTTCTTAATAAATAACAATAAACATATTATTTATATTCTCTTACTTAATTCACATTCTTTTATAAACTTAATAATATCATCATATATCTTGTTAGCTGATTTCCCCAATAAACCTGACAAGGAATAGTCATGGTGTTTAACTTTCTTCATTGACTTAATAAGGCGATATCTCTCATTACTGTATTCTACACATTGAAGTAGTACATGTTCAACTGTTTCTTGTTGATTACAGTGTACACAGGCTGGGTGCTTACCAATTCTATATAATGTACTATTAAGTCCCGTATGTCCAATTCTAAGGCGTGTAATGATATTGCCTTCCCTTCGATTCCTGCTTTCCTTTCTCCCAGCATCAACTGTTTTTTTTATATTATACAAATATCTACCCGTTCCATGGTCATCCCAATATATCTGCCAAACTGATTGTGTATATGTTCTACTGTATACTTTAGCTTCTGCTTTACTTATTGGAATATGTAGATCTACTTGCTTTATTCTTAGAGTTTGTTTAGCCAGAATATAAACCTTCTCATTTCCCTCCACACCAACATGAGCAGGAACCCAAATTAATTGTGTAGACATACCCTTAACATTAATTTCATACATCTTGCAGAATATGTCGTTAATAATATCCATCCTAACTGATGACCTGCCAGATTTGATACTTTCAAGAGCTGAAAAACTATCAGATGTGTTATTTACTTCCTTCTCTTCTGTCCACTGTAGGCCCAATAATACTGCCAATAGCTCTGTAGCATATACTGACAAATGGTTGGTTATAAAATTCACACATTGGAATATATTGGAATATATACTGCTGCACCTGCATATCCTGTGTCAGGATCCTTGGATCCATCTGTAAATAAAACCATTGACTGTGGGAAATGTTTCTCAAAATACTTCCGGACTATATACCTTATCGGAAGTTGATTAGAATTGTCTTTCAGTTCCTGTTGTAAACTAAGGTCAACAGTTGGCAAGGGGAATAACCAGGGAGGAATTGAGGAAATTGATACTGTATTACTGTACTGTAATTGATGTAATCCTATATTTCTTGCTTTAGCATCACCTATCCACCCAAAACTTGTCTAATTGATTTCATTGTGTTCCCAGCATTCTTTTAATACGCTTTTGACAGGATGTTTTTCATTTTGTCCTTGGAGATTGACCCAGTATGCCATCATTAATTTTACTCTTCTAATTCTTAATGGCATTAACCTAACAGCTTTTACTTGCTCTAGTTGTTCAGAAAAGACCCCACACGACCACAGCGATGTCTTCTGGAGTCTGACGGCATGATTAAGTATTAACCCTTTAGAGCCCACAAAATAAATGTGTTTTATTATACATTTAATTATATTCCTGAGCTGATTTTACATTCACAAATGAAAATCTTCTTTCTTTTTGAAAATTACCTGAATACATGATCTCAGTAAAAACATTTTTTTAAAACTACAACACTTTTTGTACTAGATTGGTCTACTTTATTTCGTATTTATTTGTTTATTTTATTGTCATTTTATATGACTTTTTTCAATGAGTAGTATTCGTTTCAAAGAATCGTTTCAAAACAGGTTGACGCGTGAACTGCTCGGACTGATTCAATCCATGAAAGTGAATAAATCGTTCATGCTTTCTAGGAAACGCAGACCCAGACAGACCTGTTCAACCGATTCACTGAAATGATCCGTCAATACTTCGTTTTTTAGAACGTATAGGTAGAGCTAATTATTTAACAACATACAATACATAAACTAAAATATCAATAAGCATTTACAAACGCCTTTCATCTTTCATTTGTGAGAGTAGCAGTATGCATTTTATTGTATTTATTCTTAATGCATCCACTCCATTATCTCTACGTTACCATACAGCATAGCTTTTTACTTGCTCCGTACAGTTTTGTTCAGAACAGTATTCCAAATTAAGAGTAAGTACAAATTATGATAATTACCAGAAGTGAATGTCATTTTAAGCCTTAGTTTCTCATAAACAAACAAATAAACATACAATGTCTAAAGACAAGCTATAGCAGTATATACATTTGGAAGGGATTTATTAACATTTTCCATATTGTTCAATACAGTATGACATTTTTGAGTAAATAGAATACAACAAGACTAAGTAAAAAAAAAAACTATTTCAGATACAATACCTAAAGAAATTCTCATCACAACAAATATTTCACTTCTGTTTTGAGTAAAAACAACACGAGCCCTATAA